ATGATCGACAAATCTAAATAATATCTAGTAATATGTAAAATTACTATTGTACAATATAAAATCACCGTCATGTTCACCTTCAAGTCCTGATGATACTATTGATGTGTTTTAAATAAACGATTGATATGAATGATCTTAATTTTGTTATGGCTGAAATTCCTGGTCATTATCACGTTTTGATTTTTACACCATGAAATAAGATATCTTTAGTCCTTGATTCATCCATGAACAGCATTGCAGACATTTGTATATACAGTCAAACCTTGTCACAGCAGATGAACGGGATACATATTTAACAATCCGTTGTGGCAAGATTAGTAATTATAATCTTGCCATCGGTAATGATTTCCATTTTATCATTTTAGCACGCGAAAAAGGATTTTGATTCGGCCCAAATAAATCGCACCAAATTTTATTTTTGGGAAAAGGATGAGTTTTTTCTGAAGCCACAGACTTAATTACTCAAAGACGTTGTAGTTTAGAACCTGAAGCAATAAGAATTTGCATGTGTTGACGGAGACGGTGAATTTGAATTGAAAAACATAGAACATCGTTAGAGTTTCTATTCGAATAAGTTTATATATATTATTGTCATCGTTGTTGTTGCTACTATTGATCCGACATTCCCTTGTTTGTTAAGCTCTTTCATTTAATACTATTCTTATGTCTGTAAACAAAAATTGATTTGTAATTCGAAAAAATATTTTTTATGCTTTTTATATAATTTTAATCTACATGGTAATAGTTTCGGGCCACCCAATGCTACGTTTGTAAGTGAAGATATGGTAGCATAAAGTGGTTGCAGATGTTGTGATAATGGCTGTAGTAGTTGTTGTTGCATTTGTTGCGATAAGATTAAATCACCATCGTCATATCATTGCCCTATAAAAAATCATTTCCATATGTTAAATACGAGATTTAGAAGTTTTTCCTTTTTTAAATTTAACATGGATTGCCGAATACTAATACTAAAACATATGGAATAAGTGTGGAATGTTGTTGCTATTATTGTTAATAAAAATCCCTGGATCTTGTTTGCAAATGTTGGTATTGAAACTTTTCCAAAAAAAAAATTTAGAAAGAAAACTTACAAGTATATTATAAAAACGAAAAGTTGCCGTGTAACTTTTACTTATTCTTGTCTATCTGGAGACCTCGTAACTCCAAGAATAGAATGATCTGTATTTGTTTGTTTATATAGTAATAATAAATAAATAACTAGTTTGACATTAAAATAATTTTGTAATGGTGGCACTAAAGTTAGATATAGGAAAAGGTGATTCATATCTCATTTAAAAAAATTCTAAACATAAACAAGCATCGGGAATTATTTAAAGATGGAAGAAATTAAACTGTTAAACAAATTAAAATTATTGATTGGATCAATTTATCCAAGGTATGGTTTATTATGCAAACCAATTTTTTTTAATGATAATGAATCAATTAGGATATATAATATTTTAAATGAATTGCTTGGAACATTAAATTTGATAGAAAATTGTACTAATTGTAAGCAAGGAATGATAAAAGATAATAATAATCTTATGGATTATCTGAATAAATCAAATGATGCATTAAATGAACTTTCAGATAGATTAAAAGAAAATGAGGAAGAAGAAAGTAAAAAATTAATTGGAAAATCATATCACAATTTAATTGACACAGATGTTAAATTGAACAAAATTGTATTATGCAATGTTTGTAAAGAAAAGGAAATCGAGAACTTAGAAGCTAATTGTGGAAATAAAGAAATAGCCAGGTTTCTTTATGAATGTAAAAAAATAAATAGACACGGGGATAATTATATTGAATGGATTCCTTTTAATGAATTCAAAAATCTTGAATATTTGGGTAAAGGTGGTTTTAGTAAAACTTATAAAGCAATGTGGATTAACTATTACTATTCAAATGATCAATCTGAAACAAATGTGGTATTAAAAAGATTATATAACTCAAGTGATAAAATTACAAATATTTTAAAAGAGGTAAAACTTTTTAGTATTAATTTTTTATAAACACCTTTTGTTAATTATTAATTTTGATTTTAATTATAATTATTGATAATTTTAGTTAGAAGCAAATCATGAATTGTATGATTTTGTCAATAGATGCTTTGGAATCACAAAAAATCCAGATGAAGATAATTATATATTGGTATTTGAATATGCCCCATATGGAGATTTACATTATAATTTATCAAGAAATTTCAAGGAAATTACTTGGGAAAACAAAATACAATCACTTACTGATCTTTCAAATGGGTAAGTTTGATTTTATTATTAAATTAAATTTTTTCTTATAAAATTAAATTACATTTTATTATTATTATTACAATAAATTAGATTATGGATGATTCATGAAAAGAATTATATTCATTGTGACTTGCATAGTGGTAACATTTTTTCATACAACTATAATCATAGTGTAATAGGAGATTTAGGATTATGTCAACAAATGATAGATAAGGATGAGAATCCAAATAAGGTATATGGAGTCATTCCATACCTGGCACCTGAAGTATTTTCAGGTAAATCATATACAAAAGAATCGGACATTTATAGTTTTGGGATGATTATGTGGGAATTCACTACAGGTAAAAAACCTCTTTATAATATGCCACATGATCGTCCTCTGATAATTGATATTCTGAGAGGAACAAGGCCTAAAATCACCATAGACACTCCTGAATTCTATGCTGAATTGATGAAAAAATGTTGGAATTCAAATCCAAAAAATAGACCAACTGCTAGTGAACTTTATGATTGTTTCAGGAAATATAGTTCTAAGCTTTTTAAAGAAAGCAAGAAAATCATTGATTTAGCAGAATTAAAACGTCAAGAGGTCATTATATCAAAAAAATTTCTTTCAGAAGCAAAAAATTATGAACATCATGTAGATGCATTCTATACAACTCGCTCACTTAGTGAATTAATTGAGCAGGCAAATTTATCAAATGAATTGAGTCATCAATCTACTCGATCTACTATGAATGAAATTGAATTGTTAAACAAATTAAAACTATCAATTGAATTAATTTATCCAAGATATGATAATGAATATGGTATACAAATTAGGATTAATCATTTTCTAAATGAATTATATGGAACATTAAAATTAATAGAAGATTGTACTCATCATGAAGATGTTACTTTTCTTATTCCTCCTTTATTGAAAGAATCAGTTGGTGCATTAAATAAACTTTCAATTCAATTAAAAGAGTATGAGGAAAAAGAAAATAAAAAATTAATTAAACAATCATATAAAAATTTAATTTACATAGGTTCTAGATTGAATAGGATTGAATTATGCAATGGTTGTAAAAAAAAGGAAATTGAAAACTTAGAGGTTGATTGTGGAAATAAAGAAATAGCCAAGTTTCTTTATGAATGTAAAAAAATAAATAGACCCGAGGATATTCATTATATTGAATGGATTCCTTTTAATGAATTCAAAAATGTTGAATATTTAGCTAAAGGTGGGTTTGGTGAAGTTCATAAAGCAATTTGGGTTAGCAATTATCTATTTTTTAATGATCAATCTGAAACAAATGTGGTATTAAAAAGATTATATAAACCAAATGATAAAATTATGGGTATTTTAAAAGAGGTAAAGCTTTTTAATATCAACTTTTATAAATGTTGTTTTGATATTTATTTATATTTTATTCAGTTAAAAGCAAATCATGAATTATATGGTCGTTTTACCAACAAATGCCTTGGGATCACAAAAGATCCAGGCAGAGATGAATATATATTGGTATTTGATTATGCCCCATATGGAGATTTACATAATAATTTATCAAAAAATTTCAAGGAAATTACTTGGGAAAACAAAATGCAATCACTTACTAATCTTTCAAATGGGTAAGTTTTGATTTTATTATTAAATTAAATTTTTTCTTATAAAATTAAATTACATTTTATTATTATTATTAAATAAATTAGATTATGGATAATTCATGAAAAGAATTATATTCACCATGACTTGCATAGTGGTAACATTTTTTCATACAACTATAATCATAGTGTAATAGGAGATTTAGGATTATGTCAACAAATGATAGATAATGATGAGAATCCAAATGAGATATTTGGAGTCATTTCATACCTGGCACCTGAAGTATTATCAGGTAAACAATATACAAAAGAATCAGACATTTATAGTTTTGGGATGATTATGTGGGAATTCACCACAGGTAAAAAACCTTTTCATAATGTGCCACATGATCATCATCTAATGATGGATATTCTTGGAGGATCAAGACCTAAAATCACCAAAGACACTCCTGAATTCTATGCTGAATTGATGGAAAAATGTTGGGATTCAAATCCAAAAAATAGACCAACTGCCTGGGAAATCCTTTTTTGTTTCTATTCTATTAAGCTTTCTGAAGAAAAAAAAAAAGTCATTGAATTAGCTGAATCAAAACGTCAAGAGATCATTAAATCAGAAAAATATCTTTCAGAAGCAAAAAGCTATAAACACCATTTAAATGCATTCTATACAAGTCGCCCACTTAATAAATTGGCTACTATATCAACGGATGATGATGATGATGATGATTCATCCGATAAAAAAATTCAACCAAATAGTTTAATTGAATACAATTTTGACACTAATGCTTCAGTATTTATGCCAATGCATATAAAATGAGAAATGAAGGTAGTGATGATAATATTAGGGATTGTAATGGAGATGATATCAGGTATTATAATGGTAGCAAATGTTATTAGTAGTGATAATGTTGATGTTAGTGATGTTGATGTTAGTGGTGATGATAAAAGAAAAATTTTTATAATTTATGTATTTTTTTTTTGTTTACCGTTTAACTGAATAAATATTTAATTACATAATGATCGTAACAACGTTGAAAAAATATAATAAATAACCACCACCAGTGGAGAGGATCTTCCGGCCAACTCCTTTTGTTTGTAGAAATTGCAATAATGAAGAAATTCTTTAATATTTTTCTTTTGGAGTTTGACAATTATTTAGTATATTCCTTACTCCTATTATGATTTTGTATCTCTAAACAACGATTCGTTATTACAATCATTCATGATTAAAAGCACGCTTTCTAAAATCACCGCCAGTCACGTGATCGTATTACCAAGGAAGAGTAACAGGTTGTAGAAGGACAGGAGTAAAATTCCGACCCGAGATTGAGGAGCATCTCTAGATTTATGAATCGTTTGTTGCCTTTCATCTAAATAGTTGAGTAATTGATTTATCGTATTGATTAATTATATTAATTATAATTTTTTACCTTTTATATTAATACCATTATTAGCTCATCGACACCGGAAAGCAGATATGGTGGGCGAAGGATTGGGTTGTAAAGCGGACTAATGTTATTGTGATAGCAAAAAAGAAAAGCATGTTAAAAAATCACACAAGTAATATTAATAATATAAAAAGATTATTTAGTTAATAATTATAATAGTAACAGTAATAATTATTTATTTAATCATTAATATGACGATGATTTATTGTGATGTGATTTACTTGGGGAAAAGTTTGGTTGAGACCAAATAATTTATTCATCAAAAATAATATTGTCATGTGTTTCTTTGTGGGAAAGAAGGAAGGGAAGTAAAAATAAGTAACGAAAGAAATTGTATCCAAATTATTGTTTATTATTTTCACTATAAGGTTTCCAATTTTTTATTCTAATAGCAGCATTATGATCTAATTTCTTATAAATAATATTTTTTTTTACAGCATACTTCTCTTTGTTAATAAATAATTTTAAATTTCTATTTGATGCTGATGATACATGTCTATTTAACCAATTGATCGTTTCCATTTTATTGTCAATCAATTGTCTTCTAATCTCATATTTATGTACATATTCCTGATATCCATTTTCACCTAGCAGATTTATTATATAACTTAAAGCTTTCCGAGCGCCTAATCTCTCACATAAATCCAACAAATTCATAACTTCATATTCAAGAAGTTGAGCTTTCCACCTAAAATATTCCTTAAAGTAATTTATACCATTGTATAAATCTCTATTATCTATGAAGGTATACATCAATGTTGTTAAAATTTTTGGATTTGGTATTAATTGATATACATTAATCATTTTATTGTACCAATATTCTGCCTCGTTGATATTTTTCACATCACAACATCCGCTGATTATATTAAAAAATACAGCTCTTATTACGGGTACTTCATTCTCTTCCATTTCACGTATATAATATTCTAATTTATATCTTGGCCATGGCGATTTTGCCAGCCTATTCAATAGAATATAATAAATACTCTTGTCAATTATAACACCCAAACTTTTCAAGTAACTAAAAATCTTTTCAACAAATTCCTCGTTGCTATTTTCAGCAGCTGTGGTGATAATTGATTCTAGTGTTCCAATCTTAAACTCAGCCACGCCACTCTTCATTTGATCTAATAAATTGAATGCCATATCTAAATTATTCTGTTCTAAATATGCATTTACTAATACTGTGTAAATTCCAATATCAGTTTCCAAATTATCTTTCAACATAGCATTGAATATATCAAATGCATTTGTTGTTTCTTTACTTCTTACATAATCTTCAATTATTATTGCGTAGGTCGATAAATTTGGCTTGACTTTGTTGTTAAGCATATGTTTATGAATTTCTAATGCATCGTCATAATCCGATCTTTTCAATTCTGTCGATAACATTAAATTATAGTCTCTTATATTAGGTATAACGTTATATTCCTCTTGTAAGACTTTGGCAGCCTTTAAACCTGTAATGTCTACAGATTCTAATATCTTTGCGTCAGGCACAATACTTTCTTTTTGCATTTGTTCAAATAATTCTAATGCCAAATGGTTTTGTTTTTTTTTTTTCATGAATCCTATTAATATATTATATGTAACAATTGTAGGTTGTAGACCTTTAGATTTCATTTCATTATACTTCTCCATGGCTGTCGCTGGTTCATTTTGTGTTTTGGCAATCACATTTAATAAGGAATTATACACTCTTACATCAGGCGCCAATCCTTCTTTTATCATATTATTAAAATGTTGTAAAGCCATATCATAACTCTTTAATTCTCCCGATGCTTTAATCAATAATGTGTATGTTTTATGATCTCTCTCAACATTATTTTCCACCATCACAGAAAATAAACGAGCTGCCTTGTGTACAGATGAAGAGTAATCAAACCTTTTTTGTTTTTGATTTAGTAAACCCGACAACAAAATATTGTAACTTATGGTGTTTGGTCGAATATTGTTGGTGTCGGATTTAAATACTGCAAAGAAAAATCTTTCCATTGTCAGGAAATCTCCAATTTCAATATATGCTGTCATTATAATATTATAAGTTGATACATCTGGTTCAGTAGCTTTTGAGAATTCCATTTCGTTAATTATGGATTGCATCCTGTTGATTAGACTAGAATTTTTTGATAAATGTTTTAGAAATGAAGCAAGCAGGTGATTATAATCGTAAACAGTTAAACTTAAAATCTGCTCAATACTGAGTTTCTTGTAATTCACCCAAATTTCCTCAATATCTTTGTTCTCCACATCAATTATTGGTTTCCCATCAGAACCCAGAGTGAGTGTTTTATTTGATATATATAATGGTTCGATCTCTCCTGATCCATTCGCACCTTCAGATTTTAATAATAGATCATTATTAGATTTTGACGTTTTTATATTATTATCATCATTGTTACTATTTTCAATCTCTGTGTAATCCATAAAATCTTCAATATCATATTGTAAATCTTGTAAAGTAGGAGGAGTAGGAGGAGAAGATATGATAAAGTCTTTATTACCAACATATAAATCTCCATTGAAATCAGGGTTGACTCCAAATGAATCTGATTGATGTTTATGATTTTCTTGCGAAAAAAAATCGTCAACATGCCTTGCATTTGTACTATATAATTGAGTATTAGAAAGCAATAAACTTTTAATGTATGGATTATTCTTTAAAGAAAAAAGATGTTTAGAATGACGATTTGAATAATCTAAAAAGGAAATCCTCGGTATTGATTGTGTAGATGTAGGTTTTGAAGTTAATTTTATTAATGATGAATTATTTTGAAAATATTTTAATAATGACAATGATGGTGGCGTTGTTACTGTTATATTTGAAATTTTTGAATTAGTCGATATTATGTTTGTAATTTTATATGAATTTAATGAATTTAATGTTGAATTTTTTGAATTGTTTAAAAAATTAAATTTATACATTTTTTTCTTTTGTGTGCTTGATTTACAAATATAAAACTTTTTTTTTTTTTTAGATTTTTTAGATTTTTATTTTTTTTTTAGATTAATATATTTTCGTGAATCCAACCAATCAATTTACATGAAGCTAGACTCGATTTAGCGAACCTTGATTTAGCGAATTTGGGTTTAGCGGAAGACCAAATATGCTTATTATTACTATTACTATTATTATTATTATTAAAAAGATTCAAAGGACCAGAATTTATTTTCATTTCTCAACAATTTTTTTAATTACTCGACATCTTCATTCAACGATATAAATTCATTCTAAGCTTAAAATCTCATTTTTATTTTGGCCTTAACTTGCTTGTTCTGGATTTATTCGAGTTAATTTGTTCGCCTGGCTGAGATTTGGGCTTCCCTTTTCTTTTTTAGTTATTTCGGGCTCCTGTTTTTCTAATTGTTCGGCTTTGTTTTGCAACTCCTGACATTCTATACTAAAAATATTTTTAAACCTTGCCTGGTGCATTCTGGAATCATGTTAGGGTGGGGAGATGTAGGATCATCATTTGAGAGACGAGCTAGATACGAATAAGCTTTAATTGCCGGCGGAGATGTGATGAAAGAGCTTCTGAATATAGTCCTTTCACTTTTTGGTTTCCTTTTTTCAAGTTCATTAATTTTTCAGGTCAACGATGTCATTCTTTAAACTGCTGATTGATTGATTGCTTGCTCGCCTCTTTTAGCTTCTGTTCATTTTTGTAATCACTTTCCAAAGTATACTACCGAAATTTTTATTTACGATTTGATTTTCTAGTTGGCCAATAATATTTCTTTAATTTCCGAGATATTGTTATCTCCTTTTGACTTTCATATTTTTGCCTGCTATTAGTTGCTTAAATTTCCTGTTTCTTCACACTTCATTTGGCTTAATGATTCTTTTTGCATTTTCAATTTCTTGCTTTAAGTTTGTTATTTCGTTCAATTGTTAGCACAAGTTTTGGTTTTCATTAACTGAATTTTCATAATTGATTGTCTTCACCGGTTAATTGTTGAACTGATCTGTCTTTTTGTTAATTATTATTTTGATATTGGTTATCCTTCTTCAGGCTTGGTTTTGTTTGAAAGTTTTCACTCAAATTTTCTCATTTAAATTTTTGTTCACTTTTTTTCTGCTTTTGCTTTCTTGACTAATAAAAGTTGGTTATTAAATTTATTTAAAATGTCAGAAGTTTGATGCTATGAAGTATAACATACGAAAAAGGTATTGAATAAATACTAATACTAATACTAATACGTCATTATTATTATTATAAACAGTATGAAGCATACAGGACTCAAAACAGTAAACCACATGTATAAAAGGCATGGAATAGGCACAAATACGAATACAGTATTTTATATATGGAAATAGCATGGAAACAGTATTATGGTAAATAGCTGTAAATAATAACAATAGTAATATAAAATATTTAATAATAATAAAAAGCGTGTTACAATTTTTTTTTTAATATTTATTATTAATAAAAATTTTGTCATATTAATATGGTACGCGAAGTCTTTAACCACCATTATTGCATGTGATGTTTAAAAAAGTTTTCTGTTCTATTCTTTTTATTCAGTAGCTGTAAAGTTTATTGTATTGTCAGAAAAATTCTCAACTAACAATAGCCAAAGTGATTTTTATAAATTTGAATGAAATTTTGAAATGGCACAGAAACTGTGGTTAAAGACATAATATTTTTATTAATAAATACATGTATATAAATTTAATAACATGTAAATTAATTCTTTTTTGTTATCCTATAAACTTCACATTCTCCTATCAAATGAATTTTTCTATTTTTATTTCTAAAATTTAAATCATTTTCATAGACAGGATTTTCATGATTATAATAACAATAAGGTTTATTCTTATTACTATTACATAGACATAAATCCCAAAAATGCATAGTACTTTCATGGAATTTTATATTATTTCTAGTTACATCAATCTTTTGTTTACTATGGCATATTGCAAATTGTGGTTTTACAACTCTACTTAATATTGAATTATTTATCTGATTTTCATCAATTTTAAAAATAAAACTTTTGTCTGTTTTAATCAAATACCCATAATTTGGTGGCATTTCTTTTATATTCCAACCAACTGGATTATAACCACCAACCAATTCTCCTGTATCTTTAATTTTCATAATGGCCACAGTTTGTTCAATATTATAGCATTTATCCTCAAATACAGACCTAGAGAATCCATTTTGAGTACCCTGAAGAATTA